TACTTTATATCCAATCTTTAATAACCTAATTTCAGGCTTAACAGTAATTACCCTTCTCTCTGCTGCCTTGGTAATGTTTCTCCTATTATTTTTCAAATTCTTTTCATATTTTTAAAAATAGAATACTGAGCTCTGGTTGCACAGTACAGGCATCAGGTTGTCATGGTTCAAACTATTCCATGTCAGAGATATGAAGAAAATCTTCGCTGACAAATGCACACAATGAAGACAAATGCAGCAGTTGGTAGGAAATAGGCACAGACTCACTCCAAAGGCAAAGGCAGGTCATGATGCTAGCAGGCCTGCCGGGTAGAGCCTATCATCATCACCTGCTGGCTGTGGAGCCCAAGAACTTGGCCTTGCTCTGCTTCCGCTTCTCAGATCTGACATGGGAACCCTCTATGGACTCCACACCGTGGAGGAGATACACAGGCAAAGCAGGGGGTTACAGGAAAGCCGTGGATGGGATCTGCTTCCCCACGGGCACTGATGTCTGTGCCCGTTCTCACTCCTCCTGTCATGCCAGTGTCAGAGTGACTGTTAGTAGGAGCAGTGCTTTGACTTTTCCTCTTTTCTTTCCAGGGTCATGGAATTTTGCTTCTCTACCACATCACAAGTATAAAAGGATAAATGCCAGGGCTGTGAGGCTTAATGAAGGCATCTCATAGGCACAATGTTTAAATTTGACTAAAACCACACAGTTAACATGCTCAGTTCTGTAAAATATCCTCATGTTCCATTTTAGAGTAAAACCATGATAGCCCTGTTGCAGAAGTTTGAAAAGTGAGGGCTGTCCACCTTCCTCCTCCTTCTCCAGTTACTTTAGTATATCTGTGTGTAGTGTTCATGTGTTTGCACACATGGTGACCTGTGTGTGTGGAGGCCAGAGGTTGATGACATGTGTTTTCCTTGGCCAATTTATACCTTACATGCTGAGACAGGGTCTCTTGCTAAACCTGAAGCTGGCAGATTTGGGTAGTCTAGCTGGCCAGTGTGCCCAAGGATACCATCTCCACCTCCTGAGGGTTACAAAAGAGTGTTGACTGGGCTTGGTTACAAGTGGGCTGCTGTGCTCTCAGTTTGTATTTGGGGGCTGGGAATCATGCCTTTTACCCTGAGCCATCTTGCCAGCCCTTTATGTACTTTAAGTTTTATTTAACCATACACATAGTAACTCTTACTAATAATGTACTTTGCACACATGTGGGCATTCTAAAGTTTACTCTTATCCAAGACAGAATTAGCTATTAGACCACACTATTAGGTGGAATCAGATGGAAAGCTTCTAATTGTAATGGCTATCTTCCAAAGCACACATCACACAGAGGTGCCTTGGCAGAAAGTTGAAGTACCTTGTTCCTATTCGTCTTGGGGTTCACGAAAAGACAGAAGATGGAAAAGCTATGGGAGTGCATTCGTTTGGATGTAAGTACACATGTAGCACTGAACACACAGAGCTTCCTCTCTCCACTTGAACCCTTTCATCTTCAAGGCTACCTAGGCAAGCCAACAGCACATACAAAGCATCAGGGAGCTGCAAAGTCTCAGTCTGTAGCTTTAAATCTCAGTCATGAGGGAGAACAGAGACGTGCTCCTGTGGGGTCAGTATGGACTGATGTAAGTATAGCACAGGGAAATCCACGCTAGCAAACAAGGGTTTGAAAGGAGAAGAAAGGGAGATGGAGAACTAGATCATCAGTTAGAGAGGCAGGACCAGCCGCTCTCTCTCCTGGAGGGGAGGCACACTGAGCACCAGGCAGAAGTTAGAAATTGGAATTCTGAAATATTTCTCCGTAGCAGGGTTTATGGAGAAACCATTATGTGTGAGATGAAGACTTCTTTTTCCAAAAGAAGAAAACTGTTTTGAGTTCCTTTGAAAATGAAGAGGGGGAAATATTGCTTACCTGATTTAAAAATTTAAGACATTAGTAAGTTCATTCTTACAAAATTCCTGACCAAGTGGACAGACATAAGGGAGAATTTGCAGATGGAAAAATAAAAATGAGGACCATGTCCAACTTGCTGTACAACACATAATTAAGATAGTTTTGCTTGTACATAGGAGCTCTAAGATATGAATAGAGGTTTTTGTCTGAAAGTCTACATTCTTCTTTTTCAATGAAATCCAGCTAGCAGCCTACATGAGCCACACTTCCTTTGTAACCAGCAGTGGCCATGGGATAGTACACCCATGAACACTGAGGAGAACTTGAACACTGAGTGGGAACATCCACGACATCTTTTTTTTTTAAATTTATTTATTGTGTATACGGTATTCTGTCTGCATGTATGCCTGCAGGCCAGCAGAGGGCACCAGGTCTCATTATAGATGGTTGTGAGCCACCATGTGGTTACTGGGAATTGAACTCAGGATCTCTGGAAGAGCAGCCAGTGCTCTTAACCTCTGAGCCGTCTTTCCAGCCCCATATCCACAACATCTTTTTAAGGGAAGGAAATGCATTTTTCTTTTGCTCCCTTTCCTTCTAGCAGCCAGAAAAGCTGAAGAAATAGCTAGCCTTTAGCAGCCATAGTGACCAAGAGGTAGAATTAGTGTCTATGGAGTGAGAAAGCAGAAGAGGAACCTGGGCTCCTGTCAACTTCCTCCATGACTTTTCCATAGGAGAAACATTATCATAGTATTTAAACCGACGAACTAATCCATCCCAAATCTTAATGCTACCTGCGTCAGCACAGGCTATCAGTCATATTTCCACTAGATAATAAAATGTTAATTTAAATTTATAATTAATTGTAATCACAGTCTTGGCTCACACAAACTACACTGAAACATAAAGACAATTTTTAACAGTTTTCCCCAACCATTGACAGACAACAAATGCTCAATAAAAGTCAGTGTTGAAGGAAGTTTTATAGGTTTTCTACAATGAAATAGCATTTCCTAAATTTGTGGATAACTTAGCAAAATGAGCAACAGTAGGTAGTTTTTATAAAAGTAAGGTCCTAAACTCCAAATTCTTTGCTGAGCAAAGCCAAAATGAAGTATGTTTCTTTGTTTGTTTGTTTTAAAGCATCGTTTTTAGAAGGATACCTGGGCACACACAAATCACATACAAGGGTACACGTCATTAAGTTGTCACTGCTGTGACACACAGCATCAAGTTCTTCCATTGTGTTGCTCGTGGATGCAATGCTCAGAAATGAAACTAGCTGTCACTAGACAGTAGTCCATAAATTGAAGGCTTACAGATTATGATTTCCTGTGGTCAATCAGCAGTCTATCTTAATCAACTCAGAGTCTTACATTTTTCAGACTGAATACTGGCACAGGACAGCCTTAATGTATCCAAACACGGGGGGAGATGGTTCATTTTATGCGGGAATAATAGCATTTTAACAGTGTTCGATGAGGGAACATTAGGAACCTTGTCTCAAAAGCCATTAGCAAATTTATCTACACAGTTTTATGCTTCCTCAGAAACCCACCAGCAACTGAAGACATCCTCACTGTTGAATGTGCCAATCTGCCTCAGATGCTGGCCATGGAAGCTGCTTCCCAGAGCCAGCACTGAGAGAGAGTTGCTTGAGGGTCAGACAGTGACATCTGAAGGAGATGACACCACAAATGTAACATAGCCAAGAAGCTTAAACCAGGACCATTTCACTTGTGAGAAAAAAAACAACTCAGCTGAAGGAAGAGTGTTTCTCAAGTAACCCTGGCAATTCCGGGTGTTTGATGGATGACTTTCCCTTGTTTAATCATTCAAACATGAAACCAGTCAGCCACCCATCTCTCCCCTTCCCCCAAGCAAAGTCCTTTATAAGGATACTAGCCTATGTGAATGGGTGAATTAGGGACATAAGTCCCTTTTTGTAATCTGCCCTGGAACTATGTCTAGCCAGCTGTCACAGGTCAGCCTGTGCTTCTTTCTCTGGACAGAGATCACAAAATGAACTTCATAAATAATGCAAATTTCCAATGTCTTAGGAAAGCAGCTGAGCCTAGGCTTGTAGTGTATAATCTGGCAGGGAAGGACATGCCACAGCACTGTGTAGAGAACTTACTGTTTTCTCCAAATTCTGTTCATTTAAAATAAAGACCGCAAAGCTCTTTATTATTGAGATGAGTCGGTCAATTACACTATTGCTGAAATTACAGTAGGTAATAAATGACACTTCAATAACTTCCTTCTTGACACAAAATACTTTCATTTTATTCTCCACTAATGTTTCCTGTGTTTAGGTTCTAAAACACATAGTAAGCATAAAACGTCAGACCAACATTATTTGGTGGCACATGTCTTTAATCCCAGCACTTGGAAGTTAGAGGCAGGTGGAACACTGTGAGTTTGAGGACAACCCCATCTATAAACTGAGTTTCAGGCCAGCCAAGATTGTTACACTGTGAGATGCGGTCTCAAAAAAAAAAAAGGTGGCCTAAAGTTCCTTCCAACCATGCTACAGTCAGGAAATGTGTCTCCTCGCACTAAAGAGGGTTGTGACAAGCTTGCTCTTAGCCAGTGTCTCTTATATAGCAGCTCCCAGATCAGCTTCCACATTTGTTTGTAAAATGCACATTTCTGGCTTCTGCTTATGAATCACTGACAAACTCTGCAGTGGGGCCCATGAACCTGCATTTTCAGATTCAAAGCCCTAAAACTCCGAATGGAGCCTCTCTACCATTCAAAACGCGTGGGAAACACTGCACCCTAGACTGCTTTCTTCCGTATTCTGACAGCATCCTGTCTGCAGCAGTGAGGCTAACTGTGGTCCCTCAGCTCTCCTTCGCTGTCTCTCTCAAATCCTCCAGTTTTTCTCTTCACAAAACCAGTAAAAACGCCAACGCCAGGCATGAATGCCCACTGTGTGCTTGCCCTCCCTAAACAACATGCACTCTGAAAGGCGACTGCGGGGTGGGGAGCTCTGCACTCCCAGACACACAGGAGGGCCTGCAGGCTGTGCCCGCGCCTAACTGCTGTGGGAAGGTCCTCCTTTGGCTCTCACCAGGGTACATGCTAGCTCAGTCAGCACTCTCTCCTTACCTGCCCAGCCGGTGTACCCAGTGCCATCTCGAGGATCTGCTGACTTTAGGCCTTTTTCCATTTGCTGAAGGAGCTCTCGAATCTTATTGGTCAAGCGCTGTGAGAACTCAGGAGTCAGCTGTAGAAATGAATGGACAACATTTTTAAAAAGGGTCAATCACACTAACAGAATTAATAATACCTCCATGGTGACGTTTTCTATTCATGAAAATAAAATGTCATCATGTAAAATGTAAAGCAGCCTTAAAGGTTTAGGTTTCCCAGAAACCACACAGAAAGTTCATATTTAAGCCAAGATGTTTATTTTAAAAAGTTACCATGAGCTAGGTTATGGCAGTGCATGCCTGCAAGCCCAGCATTTGGGAGGCTGATGCAGGAGGTCGGCTACTTTGAGACTAGCCTAGGCTACACAGTCAGAAAGGAAAGAACAGGCTGGCCTTCATCTCAGAGATGTCTTTGCCTCTGCCTTCTGAGTGCTGGGACTTAGGTGTGCTCCACTGCACTAGGTAAAAGTTCTTTTCTTATAGACACCCATTGAATCTCAGCTGTTGGCTTCCAAGCCATGACAATGTTAACCCCCTTAGGAAATACTCTATTGGTTTCTGTTACTTTTAAGAATGGATAAAGCAGCTGCATTTAAAAAGCAAAACACATCCATGGTCATCAGGAACCTCAAGCACAAAGCACACCATGCCTAGGATGAGCTCCTAACTCAACACGTGTAGCACAAAGAGGCCCGGCTGGTCCTCACCTGTTACTGGCTGCATGCCCTTGCTCAGCTCCTGCCATCTTCAAACTGCAGCTACCTTCCTGGAGCTGGAGAGTAACACCTGCCCCACCCCATGGCTTCTTACAGGCCACCCACTCTGTGCCAAGGATGACTCTAATGCTGGGGTCTTGGGGTTAGTGACACCCACATGAGGGCCTACAGAACTGATGGGCAAGCTGAGGCTCACAAGTCATATTCTTCTTAACTTTTTCAGATTAAGTTTTATTATCTATGTGGGTTTGTGATAGTTTGTCTGTGTACTGTCTGTGCCTGGTGCCTTGAGAGGTCAACGAAGGTGTCTGATCCCCTGAACTGGAGTTATAGACAGTTGTGAGCTTCCATGTGGGTTCTGGGACTACAACTCGGGTCCTATGAAGAGAAACAAATGCTCTTAATTGTGAAGTCATCTCTTCTGCTCTCTCACAAAGGCATATTCATTAAGAAGGCAACTGGAAAGCATTTTCAAAGTACTGTACTTCAATGTACCAACTAACTCAGTATGCTAGGACTTTACAGAAAACCAGTAAATGTCAAAACATTCCAAGTGCAGACACATGTTTCATCATGGAAAGACTGTAATCTCAAAGCTAAACTGGCTAGAGTCTCTGTTTTATTATTCTGTGTGTGTACCTGTTCATGCATGCATGACAAGCACATGGGTAGAGGTTTAAGGACAACTGCAGGAGTTAGTTCTCTCCTTCTGCCTGGGTCCTTAGCTTGTCTGGCAAGCACTTTTACCTGCCAAGCCACTTGTTTTAAGAACATGTTGGTTTAGGGAGGTGGCTCTATCAGTAAAGTGTTTGCGTTACAAGCTTGAATTTGACCTCTAGAGCCAGTATATATAAAAGTGAGACATGCTGGCATGTGCTTAAAGCTGGGCATGCTGGCATGTGCTTATAATCTGAGAGGTGAGGAAGAGGAAGCATGCTGATTCCTGAGGGTTCACCAGACAGCCAGTCATGGCCTACTTGGCAAGCTCCATGCTAGACAACCAAAACAACCACCAAAAAACAAAGGACAGCACACAGGTAGCAACAGACATCATCCTCTAACCCACACATGTGCATGCCTCTCTGCACACACGGACATGTACAGACTGTAAGAAGGCAGTGCCACACTAACGTTCATATTTTCAAAGATTCACCTCTGAGGAGCATCCCTGATAAGATCTGTGGCCACTGTAGTATAAGCATCACTAAGAATCCACAGCTTGACAGACACATGCCTGTTATTATAATCTCTGTCAAAAGGTTAGGACTTCTACAAGACTTGAAACACATTTAGTAAGACATAATGGACTTTGATATTAATATAAAAAAAGTCTGTAAGGTTCATAAACGTCAAGGAGCAGCTGACATGACCATAGCCATCTTCTGAGCAGAGACCATGTGTATTCACAGTCCTGGTCCACCTGCCATCAGGAGTCATTTTCTACGAGGCCCACACACACATAAGGTGACCTGCCTGAGAATAAAGACTATGGTCAACACCCCATCACTGAAATTCAGGTCAACACCCCATCACTGAAATTCAAAGTGTGAAGAATGCCTGCAGATGCCAGGAAGCTCCTCCCACATCCATGTGTTAACAGGAGGCAGCCAGGAAGCTCCTCCCACATCACATCCATGTGTTAACAGGAGGCAGCCAGGGCTCTAGGGTTTGACCTTTTCCATTCAACATTAAAGGACTTTAAAATGAATGCCATTTTCTTTGTAGGATCTCCAAACTATGTTCTAACATATGTCACCTTACTATTTGGGTTTAGAGTTTGGATTTGTGTCTTGTGTGATACATCTCCATAATTCCAGTACTTAGGAGAAAAAGGCAAATGGACCTTGGTGAGTTGGAGGCCATCCTGGACTTCATAGTGAGTTCCAGGGTAGCAAGAGCTACATAGTGAGACACTTCAAGAAATGAATGAATGAATGAGTGTTGAGAGCTGGATGTGGTGGCTCATACCTATGATACCAATACTCAGGAAGCTGAGGCAAGAGCATCACTTTGAGTTAAAGGCCAGTCAGTCTGGGCTACAAAGTGAGTTTTAGCTTAGTGTCCAAAAGTCCAAAGAAAACGGGCTAAGATGTGTCAGTGCACCAAAGCATTAGCTATGAAAGCCGGACTAGCCAGCATTTGATCTCAGAACACGTAAAAAGCCAAATGTGGCAACCCATACCTTAATCCCAGTGCTCCTACAGCAAAATGGGGAGCAGGGACAAGAGTTACCCAGAGGCCCAGCTAGCCTGGAATACACCGATCATCAGCAGAAATAGTAGGCCACACCTCAAGGCAGAAGGCAACAACTAGCTCCTATGCTCTCTAAATGCCTGTAACATGTATGGGCCTGCACAGAACACACATAACAATGAGTGGATTTTTTTTTTGAAGGAAAAAATACAAAAACAAAACAAGAACAAGAAAATTCCACACAAATTAAACGTATAAAAACATTGATTTATGAGCGGCCTAAAACCGAACAGTGAAGTTGAGACATTTTTCATTAGGACACTTTTTCAAAGGTTCCCTCTGCCAAGTCAGCAAGAAGCAGCAGGACTAACCAACCAGACAGGACTAACTTACACCTTAGCTTCAGATCTGGGGAGGGAGGCAGAACACAGGACCCGATGGCGACAGGAGGGTCACAGGACACCAGACAAGTACACACAGCTTTGTCCCAGAAGATCAATCCAGTCTTAAAGGCCCCCCAGCTCCACACACACACTGCATCTCCCAAGTTCGCCCCTCCCACTGAATGACTGACTAAGGCGGTTTCAGAGGTGAGAGAGGTTTCAGAGGTGAGAGAACCTCATAAACCCAACAGACAAGAACCCCACCGGCTAAATCGTCACTCTGCAGCATCGACAAGCTTCAAAGGAATAAGCTGGTAAAATATTTTAAAAATTTATGGTCACTGGATACAGCAGCCTACTCTTTTAATCCTAGTATTGGGAGGCTGAGGCAGGAGGATAGGGATTTCAAGGCCAGCCTGGGCTATCATGATTTCAGCCTGGGCTACACAGTGTTTGCACACTCCAGCTCTCTCTCAGGGATCTGCCAAAACTAGGTATTCCTAACAATAATCCAACTGGCCAAAGAGGCATGTGAAAACAGGTACCTGGTGCCACACCCCAGGCTCTCCTCGCCCAAGTGCCTCGTGATATGGAAGCCAGGTTAACCCTAACGCTAACCACGAATAGTTTTTATAATCTTTGGCTCCCCACTCTCAACTTTAAAGATGGCTTCGAAAAACAGTAGAATTACAAATTATTTCAGGTCTGTTGGTCACATTTATCTCAGCAGCATCCACTAAGAAATAACGTGAATACAGCCAGGTCCCTCCGGGAGTGAACTTCGAAGACAATCTTTGTAACTGACACTCCTAATACCTCAGGCTATTTCTTCCACCGCTAATGAGGTCGACAACGGCATTTTATTCCCTACCCAATACGTTAGGGCTCAGTACATCCAGACTTAGACACTTATGTAAGTCAGCGGCGGTCGCGCATCTTTGGCAGGGGAGGGATGAGCGCCCCACCCTCCAGGGCAGGAGGGAGGTCCTTCGGGGGCCCTGGGGCGGGGAGGCGGGTGGGCGGCCACACAGGCCTCCCTCAACTCACCCTCCCGGAAGAATCAAAGTAGCTTTCGGCCAGGGACTTGTTATAATCGGCAAAAGGATTCGGAAAGGCCCTCTGAGCCATGACGCCGCTAGCGAGCCTGCAGAACAGGGGAAAGAGAGATCGCAAGTGGAGCCGGGGCTCAGGGTGGGGACGCGAACGCCAACAGGAACGCGATCGCCGCGGCAGGCACTCCGGCAGCCCCTTCCCTCCGAGCGGACCCCGGCCCACGGCGGCTCGGCACGCGCGCGGGACGGCGGCCGCGGCTCTGAGCCCCGCGGGATGAAGGGGGCCCGTTTTCCACCCGCGTCCCACGCCCGCGAGCGGGGGGCTCTGGCGGACCAGGGGGCTCGCACGTCTCCTCCGCCGGTCTCGCCAACCGCGCGGCGCGGACAATAACAGACACGGCGCGTTCACCGCCCACTTCCTGCAGGCCTGGCCAATCAGCGGGCACGCCGAGGCGGAGGCCCGCCTCCCGACCTCAGAGTCTTAAAGACACAGGGTGTTTTCGTTTTTTTCTGACGCTCTGGGAGGCACCTTCCAAGACAGCAGTGATGGGGGTCCCACGTTCCCTACCCTCATTGGTAAACACGTGGTTAAAGAAAGTGAATTCAGTTCCAGACCCAAGAGCTCGAAGCCCCGTTTACCTGCAGAAAGAAAGGATAGTCTAAATTAGACGCTAATCCTATTTGAAGCACAAAGAATCAAGAGTAATCTTGGTGCTTAACATTCTCCGTGTTTGAAAACTTTTCGTTGGAAATTAAATTCTGCCTGAGACACATCAGGCCCTCTCTGTTCAAAGCATATGGGAATCCAAATATCTGTCTGGGCAGAAGAGATGCCTGGGGCTTAAGAGTTCTTGCTGCTCTTGTGGAGGACTGGAGTTTGGTTCCCAGCACCCATATTGGGCTGCCTACAATCAACAGAATTCAAGGAGATTCAACGCCCTCTTCTGGCCTAAATGGATACCCATACACAAGCACCCTAACACACACACACACACACACACACACACACACACACACACACACACACACACACACGCACACAAGGACGCACGCACACACACACACACACACACACACACACACGGGAGGGGTCATAAAATAAAGAAGTATAAAATGTGGTTTCTGTCCTCCCATCTTGATTAATGGGCACAAGCTTCAGACCTCCTACGGTTCATCAACCCCTCTCTTCCTCATGTTGTTCCTAGTTCTTTCCCGTGAAGGGGGCACCCAAACTCTGCCTTAGACTAACTTAAAAGTTCCAGTTTGGTTTTTCTTATAACTTTTGATCTCCCAGAAAATTCATTAGTTCTGTTCCCTCAGCAAATTCATGGAGAGTTTGTGAAGGTCTTCAGTGAATATTAAACTGAAAATATGGAGGTTTGGAGGAACATGTCTAAGAGAGGAAAGGAAAAAGAGATTGAGGCATTTTATCAGCTCCTTTTGCAGTTATTGCAAGCTCAGTGTCATGATATCCCATCAGTCTTTACATGAGCGATTGAAAGACCGCGACAAGTAAATACACTAACAGCTTACAGAAGGGATGACTCCTGATAGAGGAACATTCAGCACAAGAGGACAACGCTTGAGCAGGTGACTGGACAGGAAGATGGTAGTAGCACAAGGATGGATGGAAAGGAGAGTGTTGGTGGCTGAAAGACCCGAGAAGCATCTGCCATGTGGATGGTATAATGAGATACTCAGTGCCAGAATCAGCTCTACTGGCACTGGGAACAAAGGCGCGTGTGTAGGGCAGCCAGAGGTCGTGGCGGTGTCCTTATCACTCTGCCTTGTTCTACCAAGACAGTCTCACTGAGCCCGCAGATTGATATTTTCTGCTTGGCTACTGTCAGCTCAGTCCCAGAGCTTCTCCTGTGTCCACAACTCCCAAAGCTAGGACTGTGGGATTGTGGGTTTGTACATCTGGATTTTATGTGGGTGCTGGGGATCTGAATTCACACCTTCATGCATGTGTGGTTAGCACTCTTACCTGGAAGATATCTCTCCATCCTCCTCCTCCTTCCTCCTCTATTCCTTTTCTTTTTTCTTCCTCTCCCTCTTCTTCCTGTTCCTCATCTTCCTCTTCTTCCTCTCTTCCTCCACCTCTTCCTCTTCTTATTTTCATCTTCTTCCTCTTTCTCTTCCTCTTCTTGTTCCTCTTTTTAAAAAATATATATCTTAGGTATAAGCTTTCTAAATATACCAGAAGTCAACTTCTGGTTCATAGGATGTTCTAAAAATTAACTTTCCCAATACTGTTAGATGTTTTCTAGAAGCAGCAGACTAGTTTATCTGGTCTCTGTTGGGAAGTTTATGTTATCTTCATCTCCTGTCCAGCATTTGTTGTCTAATATTCCAAATTTACCATGCTAATGAATGGCATAGAATTCCACTGATGCTGAAACACTCAAGGTTTTTGTTGTTGATAATAGTGTTGGACTTTTATTCATACACATGCCAGACAACTGGACTTTACCTAAGGATATTCATTTTTGTGTTTGTTTTTGCCTTCTTTTCTTGTCAGTTGACAGGTTTCCTTGGTCTCCTGGCAGGTAGATTCCAGTTACTAATTCCTGGCTTCAGATATTGCAGATATATTCTCCTGTCTGTTAACTTTCCTAGACTATCGATAAAATAAAGCCCATGCAACTTTGGTGTTGTGGTTTGAAGATTTGGTTTCATGTTTCACGAAGGCTGTAAGGATGACTCCTTGTGTCTTTATGCTCTGGCTGTCACTACAGAGTACATTCGCCAAGGAACTTAAACAACACAAATTTACTTTTCTTATAGTTCCAGAGGTTCAAAGTCTGTGATGTTAACAGCACTTACTTTGGTTTTTTTCTTGTTGCCTTTGTCTTCATTTCTAGAAGGCTGTCTCCCACCTCTGTTTTCACATGATGTGATAGTCAACCATAGTTGCTAGCTGGATTCCACCTAGAAACACCTGGGCAAGCTCGTGGGCAATTATCTTGGTTAGGTTAATTAAAGTGGGAAGACCCACCCACTGTGGATGGCACCACTTTCTGGATAGGGAATCATAAAATGTTTATAAAAGAGAGTATGCTAGGCACAAGCATTCATCTTTCTTGGCTGTCAGTCTACATTGTATGTGTCCTGTCTCCCACAAGGACCCCATTATCTGTTAATTTTCATTACCGATTTAAAGACTATCTCTAACTATAGTCATGCTGATGTATCTGGAGTTAGAACCACCCTTTGTGGATTTGGAGGCTGCAATCCCACCCACCACAGTCCCAATCTGTTCACCTGTTGTATTTATGGTGGTTGAACACATTTGTGTCTAACATAGGTTTCACTGTTAGAATTTCTCGAGACTTTCCACTTTTGATAAATTTGGAATTATTTTGAAGTGTGTCTATTTTATAATGTGTGAAGCTGTCTTACATGAACTCTCAGATAATATCCATTGCACCATTGCTTTTAAAATGGGGATACTTCCAGAAATCTGGGACAACTAATATCAAGGAGAGAAAGCCAGTATCATCTGAGGGTTTCCTATTTCCATTCTAAGCCCTCAATCTCCAAATGCCACAGCACATGTGAGGGTGAAATCTAAGTCACAGTTAGGAAGGGGCTTCAGGCCCATCATGGAAGCAGAGAGAAATGCACTTCTCTTAGTGTAGGTTAGCTTTGTTCCATGTCAAGGAATTGTAGATTGCTTCCACTTAGTTGTTCATCCCTTAGTGTGTTAACCTTGTCACAGTGTCCATGGTGGTCAGAGGTACACCTGTGTCCCAGCCTGAGGGGAGGTCAGGCAAACTCAGGCCTGCACAGGCTAGTATGAGAATCTGTCTCTTCCCTCATGTCTCTACTGTAAGCACTGAGCCACAAGACTGTGACCCGCCACCCAGGGAGCTATTAAATAAGGTCATCTTTTGACCCATTCTTTGTCTAGCTTTGATGTACAAAGGTAATGCCTGGTTTGTGGATAGTGGTCTCTTATGCACAGTGGAAGAGCTAGTAACCGATATAGTACGTGTCTGCTAGCAAAAGGCCAGCATGGTTATGTTTCTGTGGTCCTCCCTTTGCCTCTGTCCTTGCCAAAGGCACTATGGCTGCCTATGGTGCATCCCCTTGAACATTGGTAACTCTGTCATTGAACTACGGGAAGAGCTAGACCCTGAAACTCTGTATTTATAATTTCCTCTTTCAGAAACATCTCCTCTACAACACACACACACACACACACACACACACACACACACACACACACACACCACTAATCCAGTGGCTTTTATTTATTCTTCCCTTTCTACCTGATTTCATCTTGTTTTAAGAGTAGTCTATTTTCTTTTCAGCTCAAAAAACTATAAAATAGAAGTTCTCTAGGTCTATCACTGTCCTGTTGGTTTAACATCCAGTTGGGGTTATGTACAGCTGAAGCAACTTTCTGATTGATCCGCCATACTGACCCCGCTGATTTGGCAATGCTGTTGGCAGCAGAGGGAACAGGCATGTAAACAAATGCTCACCAAGCGCACTGTGGTGAGACAGTGTTCCTGGAGACAATGTTCCCATGGTACAGACAACACTGCCTCCCTGCCTGGTCAGGACTGTTATCAATGTGCTGACAGGTTTCTTTGTGTCTCTAGCTGCTTGGTGAGAGCTCCTGTCATATGAATCACAGGGTGCTGGGCTTCTCTGGGAGATTAAAAGTATTGCAAGTTTATGAAGTTGGTCAAAGATGTTCAAACATTTAGAAAGCTTTCTCCACTTCCTAATAACCCTTTAAAAGGGATATTGACCAACTCTATAGCTCATGTCTTTAGCAGCAAGAAGAGAAAGGCTTTCCCGTCTGATGTTGAGAATGTGTTCCTGTGTTGTGTTGTTGAGGTTATGCATACCTTTCTTTCCTACATGCATGATATATATATATACATATATATATATATATATATATATATATATATGCACGCAAGCACGCCAGAGATGAAAACCATCATGTCCCTTGACCTTCATCTGGCTTCTTTTTTTTTTTTCGCCTGGCTTCTTTCTCATAATCAGAAAACATTACAAGTTAAGAATATATTTTAATTTTTCTTACATTTATGGTGTGTATGGTGTGTGTGTGTGTATGGTGTGTGTGTGTGCTGTGTGTGTGTGTGTGTGTGTGAATTAGAGGCCAATCTGAGGGACTTTTTCTTTTTTCTGCATGGGTCCTGGGGATTAAACTTGGGTGTTAGACTTGGCAGCAAGTACCCTCACTCACTGAACCATATCTTGGGCCCTGAGAAACCACTAATGGGGTAAATTGCATTTGCTACTAATGCAGGCCATGAGGTGATACATCTTCATCCATGGTTTGTTC